GTGGTGTTATGGATCTAGGAAAAACGAATGGAACTACAAACGTAGGTTTTAATTTACCATGTAATGCAATGTGGAAAGCATCTGGTTGGCAACACCTTGATTTTTTCAGCATGGCAGGGATTCTAAACACACTGCCAATTCAGTCGAACTATACCTGGACAGAAAAACCCACAAAGGTAAGCTTTTGGTTATGGATTGGCCAACACAGAGCCCGTATTTCAACATTAATGTAGCAGTGTGAGATCATCATGACCAACATCCAAAGAAAAGCTTTGAATGTCCTTCAAAAACTAGTTACTAGTCCATGACAAGAAAACTTCAGGTTCAGACTGTCTTAAAAAGCAAAATTACATAATTTCCTTCATTAGGGATTAAGAAAGTATTCTGATTCTGATTCAAAGGTGGTCATGGGAAATACTGACTTTCATACCACAGAGTATCAGGGCCACATTAAGAAAAAAATATATATATTATTAATCATTTCGAGAATAAAGTCAAAATTCTATTTCAGGAAAAAAGTTGAAATGTGAAGATTCCTGTTGTGGTTTTAAGAAAAAAAAAACCACAGCTGTTTTGCTGTATACAAAATGCCTTCTGCAGTGAAATCAATTACACTTACAGTTACAAGGAAATTATCCCTCTTTTAGCACATAAATACTATGTGGTGATAATTATAAGGACGTTGAAAAAACGGTGCAGGAATCTGCATCTGCTCAGAACGAAAAAAGCACACAAACTCTGAGTTGGCCAGATTTGTGCAAAGCAAAATGGACAAATGCAAGGGAACAATGGTTACACTCTTCTGCAATAAAGAGAATGGATGTTGTATCACACAACACGACAGTGCCAAGGCATTTTGCATTTTTTTTCTTAATGTGGCCCTAACACTCCTTTGTACTTTCAAGCTAATCAGACTTGTACAAACTCTGTTTTCCTCTAACATAGTGTGTCTCCAAGTATGCACATTTCAATAAATCACTGAACTTATTCCCCATTTCCATTCCCAATAGGTGGCTGAAGACTTTTGCACAGCACTGACTATACATATTTAAATGTAATAATGGATTGCATAATCAGTCTTAATATAGCTTCATTTTTAGCAGATTAGAAGTGATTGCGCTGGCTGGACCATTCTATTTCTCTCTCTAATTTTAGTCTGTGGCTGTAATGGCCTTTTTTCACCTCTTGCAGTTCGAGGCCCCCCTCGAAAATGTGATGACAGATCTCAGTGGGTTTATCCTAGGAGTAATACATTTCACTAATATCACTATGTGCCACTTACCATTTTGTGAAGTGTTATCGTGGCCACTCTAATGCTGTGTGCGGTGAAAGAAGTTGGTATTAAATGAGATACTTTTGCTCTGTGGTTCAAAACAGCCAGCAACCAAGACCTCTCACTGTGGGTCACAATGCACTCGATGTATTAATCCATTTAGCAGAAAGAACATATGGCATACTAAATGAGCCTTGACGTGCTGAGTGAATGCTTTATATAGCACAGGCGCTCAGAGAGAGTTATGCCATGTCTCTGTGCTGTGCTTTAAGGCATGGACAGCAAGGACTCAAGCAGAGAGCAACATCTCGCAACTGAGAGATCACAGGTGTGGCCCTTGCATCTGCCTAGTCCAGCATTATACAACATAACATAAAGAGGGACTACCTGAACACTTTCACTTACTTGAATATTGTTGCTGTGGCCTAAAAATGCTACAAAAAACCTTTTGCAGTGCTCAAAACTCATAATCACACTACTAAACATATTACCCATGTGCAGTGTTGGGGAGTAACGGAATACATGTACCGCCGTTACGTATTTAAAATACAAAATATGAGTAACTGTATTCCGTTACAGTTACC